GGACTAGGGATCTAACCCACAACGTAGGTACCTGCCTTGACCGGGAATTGAACCTGCAACCGTTCATTTACAGGACAATGCTCCAACCAAGAACCACACTGGCCAGGGCTCTATTTTAAAACAGGAATAATGAAGGCAAAATATTCTAACGTGAAAATGTATTACTAGATGCCTGTCTACAGTAAGTAACTGCTGGATGTGTAGGATTGTTAACACATCTAACTGAGAACACTAGAGAGGAAATTGGCCAAGGCAGGTGAACTGAGATTTCTTCATTGGATATATACAGGATATATACAGGATAAGTATTTCAGTTCCATATTAGCTTCCTTTTGTGAGTTAGTGCTAGTAAAATTTTACTTTGGTAGCTATAAGGAAAGCCAAAGAATCATGCCTTGAGGAAAGAAGCCTGAAGTAGCAAAATCAACCAAGTGTTGTATTTTCCTCTTCCCATAGCTCACTGTTGCTAATAGTGACATCCTTTTTTATCATAAAGTAATATTTGCTATCCTAAAAATGGACATTTCATAAGATGATAATATCACTGAGCACCAAAGCCTGACTGGTTGTGTGATCTTCGGCAAATTACCTTTCTAAGCTTTAGTTTTCTCATATGATAATATTTACCTCCTATGACTATGATGAAAAGAAATGAGATAGCATATAAAGCCAGGCACATTTTAAGTACTCGGTAATACTGCTTCTCTTTTGCATTTATCTCTCTGCAATAAGAGACTTTAAAAGTCAGGATCAACCCTAGCTGGTGTGGCTCAGTGGATTGAGTGCCGGCCTGCAAACCAGAGGGTCTCCAGTTTGACTCCCAGTCAGTGCACATGCCTGGGTTGCTTGCCAGGTCTCCAGGAGGGGGCATGTGGGCAGGAGGGGGCATCAAACACACATTGATGTTTTCCTTTCTTTCTCCCTCCCCCCTCTCTAAAAATAAATTTTAAAATCTTTTTAAAACGTCAGAATCACAAAGATTTTGAAATAGACAAGGTGTATATCATTATTCTATTAGAATGTAATATTTTTAAAAATATTGTTTTCCCATTATAAATGTAGTTCATATTTATTAAGGAGGATTTGGGAGATACAGAAAAGCATAAATAAGAAAAATTAAAAATAGTCCCATTATCAAGCATTTATTACTATTAGAATTTTAGTATTTATCTTTCCAGTCTGTTTTCTATATTTTATCTCATCTTGAAAAAAAAGAAAAAGCTTTTCCTGAATATTCTCTGCCTAGCTATCATCATTCCCTTTCAAAGGTTTCACAATCAGATTTTTTAAAAGCTTCCTCTCACTTTTGGTACTGTTTTTTTGTAAGAAATCAGTTCTCAACAGATACATCATGGTCCTCCTGGTTGGTAAATCCAACATATACTTTGCAATCTTTTTTAAAGAAATATTCTGCACTACAAACCACTTCTTTATTCTTGAAATGTCTTTCCCCAACATTTCTGATTTTTCTCTTATTTCTTTGGTCATTTTTTGTTCTTTTTTATAGATTTTTTTCATGTCAATTTATTCATATAATTTCTGGTAATGAATCTTTTTCTCTTAATGATTTCAGCCATTTATGTAGCTTCAGGTCTCATGTCTATGCTGATTATTTCAAAATGTGTATCTTCAGACTTCACAGGCCCATGCATGGACATCTTATCTCTGTTTGGATGTTTCTGAGGATTCCAAACTCAACATATCTTAAATTGACTTCAACCCATCATCTCATTCCCTTCTCCAAACAAAAAATTGTACCTTTCTGCCTACCTCACCATCCACACGTTTACTCAAGTTGGAAAAGAATTCTGTATTGATTCCCTGATCAAGCACTGTGTCCAGTCAATAATTTCATTAATCCCAAATGCCTAATTTGCCTTGAATCCATCAAGATCTCTCCTGCATTATTTTCTCATTTATTTCTATCTGACATAACTGTATATTTCATAAATGTATTCCTATGCTTCATTCATTGCTATATTCCCTAGGCCTAGAAGTTTGGCACAGAGAAAGCATTTAATAAATATTATTTATTAAGAATTCCTAAATTGACTATACCAGTATAAGATTTCTTGCCTAGATCATTGAATAAGCTTTTAACTGCTTATCCTGCACATAGTTATGCTATTCCAATTAATCATCTACGTTGTAAGTAGTGTGTACTTTCTAAAATTTAATTTTGCCATGTTCTGATTTAAAACTCATTGATGACTTGCCCTAGCTCATAGGATGAAGTCCCAGTGTTCTATCTTAACTTTAAAAGCCCTTCTTGAACTGAAATTCTAATTTTTCAGTTTTATCTCCTACCACCATCCACTTTGAACTCTGAGCTCTAGCCATCCCAGACTTCTCTTATTTGCTAAAAGGTACTATGCTTTCTTACCTCTAGATTTTTCACCTATTGATTGTTTTCTCTGGAACACTTTTACTTTCTCTTTTGTTTCATTGACTCCCAATATTTAAAGCCTCAGTTAAAGAAGCATGATTTTCGAGAGCCCTATTGACCATGCTTTTATGGCACCCTGTATACTCTTTTTTTAAATCCCCACCCAAGAATATGTTTATTCATTTTGGAGAGGGAGGAAGGGAGATAGTGAAACATTGATCATTTGCCTCCTGCATGCACCTAGACTGGGGCTTGAACCTGTAATCTAGGTATGTCCCCTGACCAGGGCTCAAACCCTCAACCTTTTGGTGTACAGGGCAGTGTTCCAACCAACTGAGCCACCTGACCAGGGCTGTGTATATTACTTTTTGTAGTAGTCCTTCCTTATTTGTGGTTTTGTTTTCTATGGTGCTAATTAACCATGCTAATTGTGGTCCAAAATATTAAATGCAAAATTCCAGAAATAAAAAAAATCATAAGTTTTAAATTGCACATGTTTCTGAGTAGCGTGATGAAATATTGCACCTTCATCCAGCCTTGGATGTGAATCATCCCTTTGTCCAGCATGTCCACACTGGGTATGCTACCTGCCTCTTAGTCATTTATTAGCCATTTCTGTTATCAGATCAATTGCCTTGGTATTTCAGTGCTCATGTTCAGGTAACCCTTATTTGACTTTTATAATCTTTCTATTTTATTGTTAGTTATTGTTTATTGATTAAATTCTAAATTAATTTAAAAATTAAACTTTTATCATAGGTATGTATATATGTTTTGGGGGGAAACATAGCATATATAGGGTTCGGTATTATCTGTAGTTTTAGGCATCCACTGAGGGTCTTGGAATATATTCCCCGTGAATAAGGGAGGACTATTGTAGTTATCCAGTTTATCATAAATGCTGTTTTAACTTCCTGGTTCTACTTCTAGATTATAGCTCCTTGACCACAGTATAATGTCTCTGTTGGTTTCCTCTATATCCTCAATACTTTTGATGCAGAGAATTGAGACACAGTGTAAATGTATGCACAGTCAGTCCTCATTCATGAATTCTGTATTTGTGAATTTACCTTCTCACTAAAATTAATTTGTAACCACAAAATCAGTACTTGCAGCACTTTCATGGTCATTTGTGCACATTTATAGGCTGGTGAAGAATTTGAATTGTCTGATGTGTACATTTCAAGTGGAGATGAAATAAGGAAAGAACTTATTGTAGTTCTCATACTATAACTGAGTCCTTTTGTGGCCTATTTAGTGCCACTTTTTCCCACAGTTTTATGCTTTCTGTGGTGATTTTGCTATTTAAAATGACCTCCAAGAATATTGTGTAAGTACTGGCTAGTGTTCCTGAGCACAAGAAGGCTGTGATGTGATGTACTTTATGGAGACATGCTTTTTCCAAGTATAAGCTGGCAATGAGTTCAATGGTAACAAATTAACAAATATATTAAGTACAGGGTGTTTAAACAAACACATAAAGCAAGGTTATATATTAATCAGTTGAAAATATTGTGACCAGAGACTCATAGGAACCTAACCCTGTATTTCACCTAGGAGCAGTAGTTTAGTATTTACAAACTCAGTGTTCATGGTGACTTTATAGACTATGACTACCAAAAATAATGAAAATTGACTGTATACATAATTATAATATTAAGATCAACTATATATAATATTTGGTAACTTGCTTTCCCCCCACATAACTATATATGGGTCATCCTCCTACTTAAAATAATGGCTCTTTATCTCATAATATATGTTATATTATTAAGAAGAGAACTGTGTCTTCTTATACAAAGGGGGGCCCAAAAAAATGGAATTTATTTATTTAAAAAACGTGTATTTATTCTTACATGTTTAAATTTCAGTCACCTTCAAAGTACTCTCCATTTGATACACTACACCTATCAAGACATTTTTTTCACTACTCAAAACAGTTTTTGAACTCTTCAATTTTGATGACTTTCAGTGCTTCTGGCATTGTTTGTTTCACCTCTTCCACACTGGCAAAACGTTTCCCTTTGCGGCCTTTTTTCATTGGGGAAACAGAAAAACAAGTCACTTTGGGAGAGATCAAATGAATAGGAAGGGTGGGTGGGGCATGGGGGTCATGTCATTTTTAGTCAAAAACTGTCAAACACTCAGTGCAGTGTGGGCAGGTGCACTCATCAGTCACCCATCATGAAATGGGCAATTTCATCAAAAGAGTCTTCAAAAAAAGTTCACTGAAGTTGAAAGCAGCCTCACAACAATGCCCCCTGGTCCACTGACTGATACAGATGGGTCCCTAAAACACTCACCTAGCAGGCAAAGTACTACAAGGGATCCGTCCTTCAGAAGATAATTCTGTTTTTTGGGCACCCCCTTTTATATGTTCATATGAACATGGAGACAAGTATAGCTAATATGCATTATACATCTAGTTATGTTGATTACCTGAAGGATGAGTATTTTTTTTTTCATAATATATCTTTGTATTGTCTCACTGGTTGCAGTGAATATGTTTCTATTACCAATAATCTTATAAAATATTGTTTTTAATGGTTGCATTGTATTTCCTTTTGTGAAAGGGATAAAGTTTTGACTAAGGGATAAAGTTTTCCTTTTTCAGACAGTCAACGTCTACAATTGGATCTACAGAAAATGGAGCTCCTGGAAAGTAAGATGACTGAAGAACAACATTCTCTAAAAAGCAAAATTAAGCAAATGATAATGGATATAGAGACATTTAATGATTTGCCAACTTTAAAATCATCAGGTGAAGAAAAGAAAAAGGTAAATGTTATGAGTGTTACAATATTATAGTTCCATATTTGTCTTTACCAAATTTAATATATATGTTGTTTATAGGGGAAAATAGAGGTGTTTGATTACATATATAGTAGTAGTTTAAAATGACTGACGTTTTAACCCAAAGACAATAATTGAAAAGCAAGAGGTGGAACATTTCAACAAATATGAACTTTTTAAGTTCCTACTTAAGACTTGTGAGTGGTTTTTCATCACTGTTTACATTAATGTAAATTTGGTGTGATAGGAATAGATATGGTACTCAAGAGAGTTATTAACATATTCAATATTAATTTAGCTTATTAGAGTTCACAGGATATTTTTACAAAATGGTTTGAGAATAATTATAGCCTTGGTAGAATTTTATCAGAATAACATTGAAAGTATTTGTCAAATTTAATTTATATTGGCCTACTAGATATTGCTAAAACCTGTTATTTACTTCTGTTTGGATCTGCCTAGAAATTACATCAGGAAAGAACAGTATTGTCAACCCGTAGAAATGCCTTCAAGAAAATAATGGAGAGGCTAAACACAGAACATGAGACACTGAAAACACAATTGCAAGAAAATGAGACACATTCTCAGGTAAAAAGAAAAAAACTCTGAAATTCATTTTTATCTCTATGTTATCTGTCATGTTCTCTTGATATTTGCACCCCAAAACTATTCTTTCCTTTTATTTTCACCTGTTTTTTTTTTAACCTTCCAGATTTTTTTGTTTCGTAGATAGCCAGGTAATCTCCATTCAGAGCGAATTTACTCCTGCTTACCTGCCTTCTACAAACCTATATTGAAAGCCTTCTTTATGCTAGGCACTGTTCTGGGCACAGCCATTAGCTTTGAAAATTTTCAAAAGTAAGGCATTTTTTAATGCAGAAACTTTGCTAAATCCATAAAACCTATAAAGAGAATAAATCCTAATGACTAATATTCTACCACCCAGATTTTGTGTAGGTCCTTCTAGTCTATATGAATGGTATGTGTATACACACTTTATACATATATATAAGTACACATTTATTTTTATATATTTATAGAAATATTCTCATTTTATAAATGCTATTTAGAAACTTTTTTCTTTTTTTTAATTAAATTTATTGGGGTGACATTGGTTAATAAAATTACATAGGTTTCAGGTGTACATTTCTGATACATGACCTATATATGCGCATTATGTGCCCACCACCCAAAGTCATATCTTCTGTCACCACATATTTGGTCCCTTCTACCATTTACTACCACTACCCCCTTTCCTCCAGTAACCACCATGCTGTTTGTTGTCTGTGTTTATGAGTTGCTTTCAGTTTTATATCCCATGTATGAGTGAACTAATATGGTTCTTTTTTTGTCTGACTTATTTCACTTTGCATAATTTTCTCAAGATCCATCGATGTTGTCACAAGTAGGAGTATTTCACCTTTTCTTATGGCTGAGTGGTATTCCATTGTATATACATACCACATCATCTTTATGCAATCATTTGTCAAAGGATACTTCAGTTGCTTCCATGCTTGGCCACTGTGAATAATGCTGCAGTGAACATAAGGGTGCATGTATCTTTGCAAATAAATGTTTTCAGATGTTCGGGATAGACACAGAAGAGGGGTTGCTGGGTCATATGGTAACTCTATCCTTAATTTTTTGAGGAACATCCATACTGTTTTCCATAGTGGCTGTACAAGTTTATATTCCCACCAGTAGTGAATGAGGGTTCCTTTTTCTCTACAACCTCTCTAGCACTTGTTATTACCTGTCTTGTTCATAACAGCCTTCTAACAAGTGTGAGGTGGTATCTCAAACTAAAAAGCTTATGCACAGCGAAAGAAACAACCAGCAGAACAAAAAGGCAACCAACCAAATGAGAGAAGATATTTGCCAACAACAGCTCCAGCAAGGGGATAATATCCAAAATATATAAAAAACTTATGCAGCTCAACACCAAAAAAACCCCAAAATCTGGTTAAAAAATGGGCAGAGGACCTGAATACACACTTCTCCCAAGAAGACATACAAATTGCCCACAGATATATGAAAATATGCTCAACTTCAGTAACTTTTAGGGAGATGCAAATCAAAGCTATAAAGAGATATCACCTCACACTTGGTTTTCATTATTAACTATACATAATAAGTACTCATCCTTATCTGTAGATATTTTTAAAATATAATTCTTTATAATACAGTACTAGACTACGTGGATATAGCATAATTTACTAAACCAGTTCTGTATCAATGGATGTTTAGGTTATTTCCAATTTTCAAAACTACTCAATGTTGTGAAAAGTAGTCCTATTCTTCAACTTCTTGATTTACATCTGTGATTATTTACACAGGATGCACAGATAAGCCCCCTTTTCATATCACTTATTCTACTAATAATTACCTGAGCAATGTCTGAGGTCTTCTAGCCTGAGACCCTCTGTGTGAGATGGCAGAGATGATGTTCGTTCCATTCATTTTCTCCCCAGCAATTGGGGAGAAAATGTGCTATTGGTTGGCACATTATAGGAGTTTAATTAGTATTTGTTGAAGCATTAAGTTAAGTATGTGTGTCATGTACAAAATCAATAGTTAAGGTCTTATAAAGATTAGTGCTTCTCATATCTAATCAGTGTATATTAGCAATTTGCAGCTATGATTTATTGATACTAAATGCATTAACAGTTTTTCTTATATAGTCATGACAGACATTTGTTGTTAACATTTTGCTAAAAACAAATTTTGTTAAGTTTGTTTTGTTATGTTTGCAAATTTTTTATGTTTTCCTTTGCAATTATATACCCATATTGCATTGTTTTTTCAAAAAAATGAAATCATTTTATGCATACAATTTTTAAGCATTTATTTTCTTATTTAAATATTTTGAAACTCTGGTGTGATGACATTTTATGACATCATCTATTTCATTGTATGTATGTACCATTAAAAAAAATACCTATACTCTGCTTGAATGGGGTAGAGGGCTCACCAGAGTTTGCTACCACTACTAAAACCTTAGAAATAACAAATTTACATAATTCAAATTTATCAGTTATTCTATCTCTGTAATATGCAAATCTCAATGTAGACCTCCTATAAATGGTAAAATTATCCTAATATATTTAGAGTGGGGATGGGTGCTGGAGAAGAAACCTAAAAATTGTTTATAGGGTCATCATCTTAAATGGTCCTAAGGAAAAAATATTGATATTTCTTATGGAATATTGTCCCTTCTCTTTCACTGAATAGATGATGTTAGGAGGAAAACACTTGACAAACACAATTTCTTAGAGCCCATCGGTAGCTACCTTATTTCCTCATTAAGTACTAATCATATTCTTAACCTCATATACTGATAATAGAAATTCATAACATAAGCCACAATGTACAGTCCTTCTCTGTATTATTTGTTGCCTTTTAGGAATACCAAATAATCAAATCCAATTCTAATTTCCCTGTATTTTACAACTATTTTATGGAAAAATAGTTTTTGACATCTATAAATAATTTTTCATCACAGACTATTTTTCTGAATGAATGGCTATTAGTTATTTGAAATCATTTAAATATATTTATACTGGAACAACTGTAAAACTCATGGACAAACACACAGAGACATTAGTCTTGGCAACAGTTTTTTGGTATGGCAACAAAAGCATAAGCAACAAAGGCAGAATAAGTGGACCTAGTCAAACTAGAAAGATGTGTTCCTTTTCACAATCAATAAAATGCAAAAGCAATTTAAGGAATGGGAGAAAATATTTACAAATCATATAGCTTATAAGGGGTAAAGGTACAAAATATATAAATAACATAACATTTTAAATAAGTTGTAGGAAATAAACAGATTTGTGGTTTATGGTAGCCTCAGAGATTTAAAAGCAACTGTGTAATACAGATGTATAATATAGAAGGAATTTGACCATCTGGCATAGTGTTGCTTTTATAATATTATTCATGTAGCACTTAAGATGTCTGCTGCTTTATAAGAAGGCCACCTCTTTGTGTGAAACAAAGAGGGAAAAGTTTGGTACTTGACTTTTTAAAAGGTTATTAGAGATTTATTGTCAAAAAGTGCTGACTGCTTCCTTAAGTCCACCTTCACTTCAAGGTCCTATCTGGGAGAGCTAGATCTGATTTAATAGTGTTAACTCACAGCACTTGAAGTTCACATAATGTATTGTCATGATTCATCCTAATCTCTAGATTTATCTCTTTGGAGGAAACAGTAGGGTAGATGCTATATTAAATCCAAACTTATGCCTGAAAAATAATTTTAGCATGAGAGTATGAAGAAATATTAACTAAAATTGCCTCAATGATCAGATTTTTTAAAATGATCATTACTTACTGAAAGTGTCCAGGCAGAACATTTTGTGTTTCATTTTTCAGATGATACTTTGCTTAGGAAAAAAACTATATGCATCTTAAAAAAGAAAGACTTAGCCCAGAGTTACAAGGTTAATTATATCAGAAAAACAATTTAATTCTATAACAGAAAAATTGTCTTCTGAGGAAGCAACCATCAATATAATATTCACATTAGCTTCCTGTTGATGCAGAAATTATTGTAACCATGCCAGCTTTTCACCAGACCTCTTATAATCTTCACACTGCAGCTCTGCTCTTATCACAGCTTGTGGAATTAGACAGGAAATTTAGCCCTGGAAATAAGGAAGTTTCTTCTATATAGCTGAACATTTGACAGTGTTAGAATATATATTACATTTGTGGCATTAGACTTCCAGATTTCAAGGAGAGATCCCCATCATGTCCCATTCTTCTTTTTTTAGTGCTTTTACGAAAGGGAAAAAACATAAATTGTCCTTCAGTTGGCATGTTCATTGGTATAATAAATATTTTAAATTTTTTTCAACTAAACATTAGAGCAAATCTGTTGTCAAAGTCAACCTTGTATTAATGAATTTACTATTATTTAATATTTCCTGAATTTCTTTTTTGTCTACCATAACTTTATCTCATGCAAGGAGTTGATAAGATTTAAAATTGAGTGGTTTTTTTTCCTTATTCTCTTAAAAGGTTGTATAATAATTTTTGTGAATATGGGCAATGGTTAACATTTTTCTTTTGTATTTTTAGCTTACAAATTTGGAGAGGAAGTGGCAACACCATGAACAAAATAATTTTGTGATGAAAGAATGTATCCTTTAAAAAGCTGCAAATAAACTTGACCAAGTGATTTTTTCCTAGGAATTTCTTTACAGACTAAAATGAAATAATTCAACACATTCATCAAATATCAAATACATAATATGTACAAAACACTGAGCCAAAGTAAGTGAGGAATAAAGGAATAAGACTTAGTTTCCATTCAATAGTAGTTGGGGGTGGGTGTGTAGCAAGGTAACTAATAGAAAGCAAAGTATATAAAGTCATAGTGTGGTCCTGGATGGCATGGCTCAGTTGATTGGACTATCATCCTGTAACAAAGAGTTTTGGTTATAATAATGGAAACTATAATGGAAAGGTTGTGGGTTTGATTACCAGTCAGGGCACATGACTGGGTTGCATGTTGATTTCCAGTCTGGATGTGTTCAATCTCCGGTCCCAGTGTGAACAATCCCCAGTCTGGGTGCCTATGGGAAGCAACCAGTCCATTCTTCTCTCTCACATTGGGGTCTCTCTCCCTTCTTCTCTCTGTAAAAGCAATGAAAAAATGTCCTTGAGTGAGCATAAAAAATAAAATAAAGTCATGGTGTGGCATAGTGCATAGGATATGAAGTCAGTAGATCTAATTTTAAATGTTCACTCCTTATAAGCCATGGACTTTAGACAATTAATTTGTTTAACCCTCAATTTTATCATCTTGAATATAGTTAATAATTTCTTTCATAGAGTTGTTGGGAGAATTATATATATAATTGGTTATATATTATTATATATAACCATATGTATGTGTGTATGGTTGTTTATTATTGTTTATATTGCTGCACTTGGATATCTATGCGGCAAAAAGATAAACTAAGTAATGTCATGAGAAAATTGACCTTCAAGCTCATCTGTGTTTCAACTAATCCACCCTCATCTTATTTCTACCTATGTCCCATCCTCTTGCTTATCTTTTTGTGTAATTATAGGAGGAAGCAGCCACTGAGGACATATATTACATGGTATTATAAGAAATATTTCCCCAAAGTAGTTTTCTATTCCCTTCCTTGACCCCATTCAAGGACCTCTCTGCTTGGTGAATTAGATCTTGACTCACTGCAGCATAGGTTCTGCTCTAGGACACTGCTGAACTTCACCTCAGGGCTGGCAGGGACTGCAGCTTACCTCCAAATGAGATGCATTAGGAGTTCTATTCCCAGTGGTCATGCAACTTAGTTTAAAAGCAAAAAACTCCCATTTGCAATATGCTAATGTATAGCACTCTAGTTTTGTGCAACTTCAGATAGGTAACTTTGAAACAGTGGAGTTTATACACTTGCCTGAAATTCTTTGTGATACTCTAGAGAACATGATTCTTTTGAATATTCGATTGTTCTGAGACCAGAATTAGATTGAGATGCATAAGGTATGAACTATAAAAAAGCTCTTTAAAATTTATTTTAATATTTTATTTATTTATTTTTAGAGATGGGAAGGGAGGGGGAGAGGGAGACAAACATCAATGTGTGGTTGTCTCTTGCACGCCTCCTGCTGGGGACCTGGCCCGCAACCCAGGCATGTGCCCTGTACTGGGAATTGAACGAGCGCCCCTTTGGTTAGCAGTCTGTCACTCAATCCACTGAGTCACAGCAGCCAGGGCTAAAAAAACCTTTATATTATAAGTGAACTTTTTTGAAACCAGTTTTGCTTGGCCTTTTAGGTTTCAATGGATGTTCAATTCATTAAAGTAATATATAGTGGTTTTTTTTAAGATTTTATTTATTTATGTTTGAAGAGGGGAAAGGAGGGAGAAAGAGAGAGAGGGAAACACCAATGTGTTGTTGCCTCTTATGTTCCCCTACTGGGGACTTGGCCCACAACCCAGTCATGTGCCCTAGACAGGGAATCGAACTGGCAGCCCTTTGATTCGCAGGCGGGCACTCAATCCACTGAGCCACACCAGCTTGGGTGTAATATATTGTTTTTTAAAAAATATTCTTATTGTCTTTTTTTGTACCATCTTTAGTTTTCAATAAGAAAATACTATGATTTATGTATGACTTATTTCCTTTCTGATGCAGTTACATTAATATTTTTACCAATAGTGTTCCCCCTTAACTCATGTAATTAGTCATAGCAACTAAGAGTCAAGAGAGTGATTACCAGTCAATTATGAAGAATGTGACCAAGCAGATTGCAGAGTACAATAAAACCATCATGGATGCTCTACATAGCATGAGCAGAAACTGAGTCTGAACCAACTGCAAGTCTTCAAAGAAGTATCCTGTTTCTGTTAAACTTTATACAAGCTGAATACAGAAAAAAAAGTCTTACCTAAGATTTTTGAATGCTCTAACTTTTGTGGCCTGCTTCAAGAGTGATGTTTTAAATATAATAGTTTAATAGTTCAATAAATGATTTGCATAGGATAAGTATCATCTTTTATATTTTTGGTTTTTGTGGGTGATAAAAGTGTCTTAACAAACCAAGAGATAATCAAGTGAAAAATGTTCATTGAGAGACATTTCGTTGTATAATCCATCTATGGAAGTGATTTTCAACCTCTTTCATTTTATGACACACATAAACTCATTACTAAAATTCTGTAACACACCAAACAATATATTTTTTGCTGATCTGACAAAAATAGGTATAATTTTGATTGATTTACAAAAGACAACTGATTGCCTACCCTGTTTTCTCCAGAGTGACTTTTTAAGAAATCAGATGCCTATACTTGTATACAACGATTTCTGGTATCAAGAATTAACTAATCAGATGCAACCTTATTATGTGATGTGACCAATAAGATGCAACTCTATTATGTGACTTACATATTTATGGTTCAAGACAGGGCATTCACACTGGAAGGCTATTGTTGTGTTGGCTGTTGTCATTTTTTTACTTGACAATTCAAGAGAAAAGAGGTTAGTGCCCCAGACTAAATAGCCAGATGTTGCACGTTTTAAAACCTCTTGTGGCACAAGGAATGAAAATTGCTGATCTGTGGCAGCAAATAAGATCTTTTCATGTGTCAGCTGTAGGAGGGATGCATACAGTGTGATTCTGATTTAGCTCTTACATCAATCTTGTCAATATTTGCTTCTAGAAAAAGATGGTAAGATTAGAAGTTGTTTAGCTTTGAGCTCTACTTCTCAAATAGAGCATATTTGATGTGGTTTAAGGCATATAAAGTCACAGGTAAATATATAACACATACTCTATCTTTCAGTTACACCTTAATAATTTGAAATTAAAAACTTACACCCGTTGCATTTTAAAGACATTTCCTCACATGTATATATGTTAGGAAAGACATGAAGTTTAAAAGAAATGCCACACTTATGATGGGCTTTTTGAAATATGGCTGCTACTGTTTATTTCCCCCCTGAAATATGCATTTACTCTTTTGTACTGTAGGGGGACTTAAGTAGATTAATTTGCAAACATTTGCCAGAACATTTGAAAGGAAAAGCTAAAGGAGATATAATTATGGAGTATGAATCTGGGAGATGAATCACCTTGGCCCTCATAAAATAACCCTTCAAATTATCCTTTTTTTTTGTTCTGATCACCTGTTTCTCATGTTCATCAGGTTACTCTGATTCTCAGTATTCCTAAAACATAAGCATATTGGTGTCTTTGAAAGAAAAGGCTTTATTGACATATAATTTACATAATATAAAATTATGTGTGTTGCTTTCTTGAAGTAAAGTTGCCACTGTAAAATATTCAGCTTTAGTCTGTGTGAGTTTAGGTAGAGTGGTGGACATTGTTGAGTTTGGTTAACTCTGGATTACTAGTATAGCTGAAGATCCTGCACAGTGATACATTCATTAAGGTAGCATTCCTAAAATGTGTTCTTCAGATCCTTTGTTACTCAGGTTATTAATAGTTATTATACCACCAAAGAATTCATGGTCAGAGAAGTTTGGGAAACATTGTTTAAAACAACAGTAAATTCTTGGTTTCTCAGAGCCCTTAATATGCAAATGTGCAATAAGTTAAACAAGGGTATACACTAACACTATACTATTAATAATAATGATTTTTTCCAAGCTGTTGGTAGTTTTCATTAGACTTTTGGTACTTTCAAAATTATCTAAAATGTACATATAATACTTAGAAATGCAGTAAAAATTCAAATAAGTTAGTACTTGAACTTGTAGACAAGGATATATAATAATAAGACAACTAATTGAACCAATCTTCACCCAGAAAAAAAGCAGGAGAAAGATCATCTATCCATTAAATAAACAGTTTGTGTTTGCATTATAACAATGGGAAGTTTGGCAGAGAAAAAATGAAAATTTATTGAAAAAAGCAAGGTTTCCAACTTCCGTTCTAAATTACTCATATATGATATTTGGGGAACATAATTGAGCAGGATTTCTTTAAACTAAAACATGTGTTATCTGAGGGAAATTCTCACTAATGTCTCTTCCTTCCTCTCAGGGCTTTTCAACAAATACAACAAGAATATTCTCTCTACTAGGATAGAACTGGAGGCTACTATCTGCATGTACCGATTCTTCCTCAGTCAGTCACATTGCTCAGTGAGTTCCATTCCTGTTAAAACAACACCTTGTAATTCGTGTGAAAAGAAACTGCACACTGAACAAACATTCTGAGTATTTTCTTTTAAGATCAACATGGGAAAGTTACAAGTCTTGTTTTTCCCATCCTTATCCTTTATTGATAAATAAACATGAAGTCTTGATACTTCTTTCACTAACCAGGGAATCTCTCAAATGAACCATATTCTGATCTCATGTTAAAGTGTAAATTTCAGTGGAGGGTTACAGGATTAGAGCATGGAGTAATGTCATTAACACTAGAAAAGAAACACCAGTTAGTAGATGCTCCAGAGGAAGGGACTGTCCCCCTGTCCAATTTCCCTGTAGCCCTTTCTTTTGCTATAGTTTTGCAACCTAAACAACCTTTGTAAATAAAGACTGATTAGACTGATATGCAACCTTTGATAAACAACCTTTGTAAAATAAAGACTGATTGAAGTAAGAATAATTCAAGATGGATTACTAAAGAATTATAATCTATTTTATTTTATTTATTTTTTCAATATTTTTATTTTTCAATTACAGTTGACACACAATATTGTATGTTTCAAGTGTACAACCTAGTGATTAGACATTTATATAAATTACAAACTGATCACCCCAGTAAATCTAGTACCCATCAACACTATACATAGTCGTCACCATATTATTGACTATAATCCTGTGCTCCACTTTACATCCTCATGACTATTCTGTAACTACCAATTTGTATCTCTTAATCTCTTCACTTTTCTCACCCATCTCCCAATGCCCCTCCTACCTGGCAACCATCAAAATGTTCTCTGTTATCTATGAGTCTGTTTCTGTTCATTTATTTTGTTTTTACATTCATCATGTAAGTGAAATCATCTGGCATTTCTCCTCTTTCTGACTTATTTCACTCAGCACAATACCCTTTAGGTCCATGCATGTTGTTGCACATGCCAACTTTTCACTCTTATGGCTAAGTCATATTCCATTCATGCACCACATCTTCTTTATTCATTCATCTAATGATGAACACTTAGGTTGCTTCCATATCTTGGCTATTGTAAAAATGCTGCAATGAACATCTGATGTATATGTGTTCTTTATTTAATGTTTTGGGTTTCTTAGGATAAATACCTAAAAGTAGAACTGCTGGGTCCTTCTTTGTCTCTTGCTATGTAGCTTATTTTTTTTTAAGTCCATTTTTTTCTGGTATATATACTGCTACCACAACTTTTTTTTCATTTCCATTTTCATGAAATATCTTTTTCTATTTCTTCATATTCAGTCTGTATGTATCTTCCAAACTAAAGTGAGTCTTTTGGAGATAGAATATGTAAGGGTCTTGTTTTATTATCCATTCAGCCACCATATGCCTTTTGATTGGAGCATTTAATTATTTTGCATTTTAAGTGATTATTGATAGATGTGTTTATTGCCATTTTGTTACTCATTTTTTATTTTTTCTTCTTTCTCTTAAAGAAGACCCTTTAACATTTCTTGTAATAGTGGTTTGGTAGTGATGAACTCCTTTAGATTTTCTTGTCTGGGAAGCTCTTATCTGTCCTTTGATTGTAGTCAATAGCTTTACTGGAAAAAGTAATCTTGGTTGTGTGTTCTTGCTTTTCATTACTTAAAATATTTCATGTCTATCCCTTCTGGCCTGAAGTGTTTCTGTTGAGAAATCAGCTCACAATTTTGTGGGAGCTTCCTTGTAGATAACTGTCTTTCTCTTGTGGTTCTTAAGATTTTCTCTTTATCTTTAAACTTGGCATTTTAATTATGATGTGTCGTGGGGTGGGCCTTTTTGGGTTCATTTTGTTTGGGAGTCTGTGCTTTCTGGACTTGTATATGCATTTCTTTCATTAGGTTAACGAAGTTTCCTGTCATATTTTTTCAAATAGGTTTTAATTCCTTGACTTTCTCTTATCCTTCTTGCACCCTCATGATGCAAATGTTGGTATGCTTGAAGTTGTCCCAGAGGCTCCTTAAACTAGCCCCATTTTTTGGATTCTCTTTTCTTTTTGCAATTCTGATTGGGTGTTTTCTGCTTCTTTATCTTTCAAATTGCTGATTTGATCCTTGGCTTCATCTACTACTCTACTGTTGATTTCCTATAATGTATTCTTCATTTCTGATTGGCTCTTTTTCATGTTTTCTGTCCCTATTTTTATGTTTTCTATCTCTTTGTTGAAGCTCTTACTAAGTTCATTTACTCTTTCACTAAGTTTATTAAACATTCTTATACTAATGTTTTAAAATCAGCATCTGGTAGAGTGCTTATTTACTTTTCTAGAATTTTGTTCTGCTCTTTCATTTGGGACATATTTCTTTGTCTCCTCATTTTGACTGCCTTCCTATGTTTGTGTCTATGTTTTACATAGAGCTTGTATGACTCCTAGTCTTGGTAGTATGGCCTTATGTAGTAGGTGTCCTGTAGGGCCCAGTGTCACAATCTCCCCATTCTTCCTCTTGTGTGGTCTGCATGCACCCTTCTGTTGTAGTTGAGCCTTAATTGCTGCTTGGGGCCACTTAGAAAGAGGTACAGGCATATGGACACCAGATGCTGCTTGTTTAAGAACTTTTAGAAAAGTTCACAGTATAAACCAAGGCAGATTATACAGAAAAGTCACTGAAAATGAATGGCTTAGATGGTTCCAAAAGTTGGGCGGGGCAGGGTCTCGTGGAATTACCAGGGTGAACAATGTTAGCCAGGTTAATAGAGACTCAGGTATGGTGCCTGCCTGCCAGCTCTGTGGGAAGAGGACTCAACAAAGGAACCATGGCCTCTGCCAGCATTTCTGTCTGGGAGAAAGCTATTCCTCCAACCCTTGCCTTGATGCCAGACAATCCAGTTACTCCCTGTATCTGCCTGGCACCTTTTAAGCTGC